TCTCCTGTCCACTCTTCTTCTCCCTTCCATCCTTCATCATCTTCCCTGTCATGTGGGCTCAAACCCTTCAAAGACCAGCACATATGCTTAACTCCCCTGTGACAAGCCCTTCTGATTTCAGTGCTAACGTTGCATAAAGTTAAACACATGCAGAAGTTCAGCATGTTGGGGATGGATACACAGATCTGCAAGGCAACCCAAACAGAAGCTAGATTCCTAGCTACATATCCTTAAAGGATAGCCAACTTGTTCTTGCAGAGATCCCAAGCATATTGCTTCCCTTTTGGGGCCACAAAAATGTGTTTGCTTTGAACCAACACCTTGCAAAATGCCCTTTGATAACGTGGTAATAGGCACTATGTGAAGTGCTCAAAATAATAAAAAGATAAGAGCTGCAATCCCACTACTGAGAAATTACTAAACAGCCTGCCTTTTATTTCCAGACTACTGGAAAATATTATTTTTTGCTTTTACAAACAGAAGGAAAGAATCAATTATCACCCAATAGAAAAAAAGGCTGTGGACAAAGGAATAAATATTGAAACATCTATAAAGTATTGCAGACAATGGGTGCATATTGCAAAAAAGAAAGAAATAAACCGCACACAAAAAGAAATTTAAAAATAATGGAGCTGAGGGGTCCTTTTAAATAGGCTTATTTCTTTATCAGGTATTTGTCATGAGGGTTTGTCTTATGTATATATCCAGTAGGATTGAGCTAAGCTGCTGCACAGCAGATTTATTAATTTAACAGGTTTACTTCTTTATCAGTTATTTTTCTGCAGGGCTCTCAGCACAATTAACTTTTTGCTTGCTGGTTCCCCATCACGCCTGCTGGCATGCGAGGGGCTTTGCTTAGTGGTGTCTTTCCAAGTTGGAGCTCCTTGGAAATGCACATTCCTATGACAACTGGGTTAAATCCAGCCTCAGCGTGCGACTTGGGAGACTTCCCATGGAGTCCTTAACAAGTCCCTGGCTTTCTTTTTGGTGCTGACATTAAAAATCTCTGGGAACTTTCTATGAAAGGTAGGCTGCTTTCTGCCTCTTTAGGGGCAGAGTGCAACCTCGAAGCCTCACGTTTCTAAGATTTCAATCTATCAACAGACAACACTGAAATAATGACTTGTCTCACAGTCTGGTTTAGGGGCCATAGTGGAGATGGGGGCACCATTGTGTAGGGTATTATATAAACATGGCAGGAGCCAGTGTCTCCCTCAAGGACCTTATGGTCAATCAGGCGAAGGTTAGGAGGAAAAGCCTCATTTCAGCATGATGAGGGACCAGATTTTTCGAGGTAATTATGTTTCTAACTTGCATTGGTTTCATTGGGAGTTAGGAGCCTAAATCCCTCCCACAGAGGGAGGGAAGAGATAAATTACAGAATCACAGACAATGAAGGTGGAAGAGACCTCAGGAAGTCACATCTAGTCCAACCCCCTGCTGAAGGCAGGACCAGCCCCAACTACTTCATCCCAGTCAGGGCTTTGTCAGGTCTCAGCCACGTCAGGTCTTAAAAATCTCCAGGAATGGAGATTCCACAATCTCTCTGGGTAACCTGTTCCAGTGCTTTACTGCCCTCTTAGAGAGAGAGTTTTTCTTAATATCTAACCTAAACTTCCCTTGCTGCAACTTGAGCCCATTGCTCCTTGTCCTGTCATCTGCCACCAGTGAAAACAGTCCAGCTCCATCCTCTGTGCAGCCCCCCGGCAGGGAGTTGACGGCTGCTATTCAATCCCCCTCAGTCTTCTCTTCTCCAGACTAAATCAGTCTCTCCTCAAGTCATGTCCTCCAGCTCCCAAACCATTTTTGTCACCCTCTGCTGGACTCTCTCCAATTTGTCCACGTCCTTTCTGTAGTGGGGGGCCCAAAACCGGACACTGGTGCAGAATAGAGGGGAAGAATCACTTCCCTTGACCTGCTGGCAACACTCCTACCAATTCAGCCCAGTATGCCATTAATCTTCTTCATAACAAGGCCACACTGCTGGCTTATATTCAGCTTATTGTCCACTGGCTTCCTTGAGGATCTGCTCCATGATTTTTCTGGGGACTGAAGTGAGGCTGACTGGTCTGTAGTTCCCTGGATCCTCCTTCTTCTCTTTCTTAAAGATGGACACTATATTTGCCCTTTTACCAATCATCCAGGGCCTCTCTCACTCAGCATGAGTTTTCAGAGATGATGGCCAGCAGCTCTGCAGTCACATCAGCCAACTCCCTCAGCACCCTCAGGTGCATCCTATCCAGCCCCAACACAAATGGCAAAACCAGGAACAGAACTGGATTACACAGCCTATGTGTATGTCTTGTTAAATATAACTTGGGATAACAACAGGCTTTCTATTGTACTTGGATGAACCTGGGATATGAATCTAGCGGCTGTTCACATAAATCTAGTTTTCTCTTCTGAGGGCATGTTGATGTTGTGATGCCCAATATGGTTATTTAAGGTAATGAGAGCTAATACATTCCTGGCTTGGTGGAAGTGAGCTTTGTTCAAGAGTAAATGGTTTCTACATAAGCCACTCTGCTTCTTAATGGAAAAAGCAAATTCTCTGGAAGTTAATGGCAACGGCACCCACTTCAGTTAGGTCAGGCTGTAGGGGAAGGCGTGCATGCCTGAAGTACCCTCCTCCTGTTTATTGGGAGGTCATGTTGGGATTCATGCAGTGGAATAAAAATTGCCTTCATGCAGATGGTTGTTAATGATGCAGAAGGTCCATCCCAGAAGAGGTCATCGTGGCTTTGTAGATAAAAGGGGGATAAAATAGACACAAATCCTGCTGTCATTTATGCCTCTGTAAAATGTGGAGGAATGCCAATGAGTGTTTTCTTCAGGCTTATTACACCCTTATAACTCAAATCAGAACCTGGCCCCGTGTCTGAGACATGATGATTCATGTGTAAAGTCTGCTACTTTATTAACAATATATTTAAGTTATGTCAACTGTCACCCATTCACAAACCTTTATTGACAGTTAAATAGAACCTGAATGATTTGTTTTTTGGCTGTCTTTCAGTGGTGCTTTTGCTTTCAGGTCTATCTTAACCTGAAAGCATGTAATTTGTTTCATTTGTGGTGCTGCATAGGAAATGAACCTGGGTCTCTAGTGCTCAAAGGCAAATGCAGTAATCATCTGCATGACTTGATTCCTTATTCCGGTAATATGAAAATTGTCAATTATGGATGAATTATGGGTGCTACTGATACCTGTAATTTGGTTCTGCAGTTTTGTAAACATATGCAGCTGCATTTAATTGTGTTTTACTAGTCATGTAATTCATTAACGTGCACCTGCAGTACCCGAAGATACAGAAATTAATGAAGTGAAAAGCTGTATTTCATTGTCTACTATTTATATTGATATTTCTTACAACTGTTTGTGTTAAATCACAAATGTATGCATCTGAGGTGCTGGTTTTAAAAAATTTAATGATCACAGACAAAACCCAAGGAACCAGCTAGCTGCTATATTTTAAAGTTCCTGAAAACACTCACTAAATAATTAATTTAAATAATTGCTTTGCCATGCAAAGCCCAAGACTAGAGGAAAGCTGCAGAATTGATTTTTGCAGTTGTTATGGTGGCTAAGATGAATGGTTGGATAACCGATTCCAAGGGTGTGAGCTGCTGAGCCCTAACTCCATATTTCCATGGTTGACTGGCACTGTCTCCTGCTCTGCTCTGCTCAAATGCCACTCAATTTCCAGGCCAGCCGGTTAGCAGATGTACGAGCCCCAAATTCAGGAAAAAACATTTTTAAAACATGCTACATATAATGTGCTCAAGAGTACGCTCAGTGTCTCCCTCTTATTCTGATTGTGTCTACTCCTATCACTTCAATTAAAAGAAGCAGCTGGTCTTGGTACCCATCTGACCAACTTGATGCATCTGATAATTTTCACAGCACGTTGCGGTACTGTCTGTAGTACCAGTAATAATGGGCAAAATACAGCTTCGTTGAAGGCACCACCTTTTGTTGTCGCTCCCGAATATCTAGGCTTATATATTCATTGAGGGCCAAATCCTGTCCTTATTGCAGTTTCATTGGCTTCAGCCGACCTAGAATCATAGACGAGTCAGGCTGGAAGGGACCTCCAAATGTCATCTAGTCCAACCCCCTGCCTGAGGCAAGATCATCCCTATCCAAACCATCCCATACAAATCCATAATCTAAACTCTTCGGGCTTAGCTGCACGTGCAGGTGAAGGTGCGATGGGATCTAACGTGTGATCCACACAGTCGTGTTTCCTACCATGCCACACTCGCAAGGCAGGAGATGTGATTGTGGGATCCAGCGTAAGATCCTATCATGCTTTATTGCTGGTATAAGAGGAGTCCGCGATCACCATCTCAGGCCCCCGTACACGAGCAAATAGCAAGCTCCCGCAGGTGCAAGTCCTGCAGCTTATGGGACTCAGTCCAGGCTGCACCCCACACTGTGTCCTGTCAGTGTGGGGTGCGTCTGGGGCTGAGTCCTATCAGCTGCAGGACTGTCAGCCCTGGCTACACGTGAGGCACCCCCCAGCTGAGAGATTGCAGCAGCCAGGGTCTTCCAGCCATAGGTCTCCCAGCCATGGGGCACAAGCAACGCATGCAAATTAAAGCTGGATAGAAATCAGCTATAAAGTTATTATGCATTTTCCAGCAATAACTTTATGGTTGGTTGGACCCTTTTAAGGTGCAATAGTTCATTTGCACGCGTTGCTGGTCTAAATTAATTGCACAGTTAACCAGGTAATTGTGCAATAGATGTAACGTGGAGAGGGGGTGTTTGTAAAACTACCATCAACCCTGACACAACACAAGACATAACACCTGGACCTTCCACACAAAGCAGGCAAGCCATGTTAGGAAACACCTTGCTTCTAATAAAAGGTTAATATAAGCTCAAGAGATCCCATACCCTCCCACAACAGAGGATTGCAAAAACCACCACAAGTCCATACTAATCTGACCACTGGGTAAAATTCCTTCCTGACCCCAAACACTGGAAATGGTGTGACCGTGAGCAGGGGGCAATACCCTCTAGCCATGATCCTCCAGGTTTAAGTCCCAGCAGGAGCACTGGCACAGCCCAGGCACAATCCCCAGCCTGGGCTGCAGCCAACAGGCAATGCCTCTAAGAAAGGCTTTAAAACAGCCTGACACATGTAACGGGAAGAAGGGGAGGGGACAACCAGCAAAGCCCAGAATAGCATCTTAAGAATGAACTCTGACTTTTTGCCCTTCTCAAATAATATTCCATAAGCCTCATTATTTTATATAAAGCAATGCATTCACTCTCAAATACTGGGTGCAGAACAGCTTGTGTACTGTAGAAATCATCAAAGTCCTTATTTTCTCAGTGCGCATCAACTTCTAAAAACAGATGAAACAGTGAATTGCGCATTTCTTCTTGATGTTCTCAGAGAATGTGCAAGTTATTAAAAGGTGGAGGAAAGAATAAAGAACGGGGATTT